TCACAATGATTATACTTTCAAGAGTTATCACCTATGAATGTTCTACTGTGAAAGCCTTCCCTCCACCATCCCTAGAGATGGAAGTCAGAAAGAATTCAAGGAAATTAATGTAAAGGCTGCTTGGAGCAGGATCACAGATAAACTTTTAAGCTGAGAAACTTAAAAGGAAAAGCCGAGGGATAAGATGGCTACAGAATTTTGAAAGCTCCATAAAATTCCTGGAAACCAGAAGAGCATACACATGTGTGTGGCTATGCACCTGCCCAGGCTCTGTGCATGCTCAAGATTGACCTGAGAAGGCCCTGCACTGTCACCTCTGGTTGCTCTTAAGGTTTTGCACAAGTAGGAAGGGAAGCTAACACAGAGTTGAAGGCATGCCTCAATAGGCACACACAGCCCCCCAGCAATGGCCTTACTAGTTCCAAACCTTTAAGGAAATCTTTATCTAATCATTAACTGACCACTAAGCTCCCTGAGTAAAAACTTCACTGACCATATGACAAAGAATACATGCAAACAACTACAACAAATATCAGTGACAGGACGCTCTGGGGAAGAGAGAGAATCAGATTTCCACAGTTGCCATTATTTACTAATAATATAATAATAGTAATATAGTTAATGATATTACTATTTTATTGTGTCACTATTTTATTACTATTTTATTACATCACTAATATAATAAAATGTTATATCATTTAAAATGTTTAGTTTTTGACCAAGAAAGTATGTGACATGCAAATAAATATGAAAGTCTAGCCCATGTACAGGAAAAAAACAATCAATGGAAACTGTACCTAAGAAACCCTGAAGTTGACCTTACTAGACAAAGACTTTAACCACCTATTTTGATCTTTACTTTAATTTTTTTTTAATTTGTTGATTGATTTTTAGAGAGAGAGAGAGAGATGAAGGGGTAAGAGAGAGAGAGAGAGAGAGAGAGAGAGAGAGAGATCTATTTATGGTTATACTTATCCATGCATTCATGGGTTGATTCCTGTATGTACCTTGACTAGAGACTAAAGCCACAACCTTGGCATATTGGGACGACACTCTAACCAACTAAGCTACCCAGCAGGGCTAACCACCTATCCTATATAATAAAGATGCAATATGCAAATGGTTGTTATGTAATGACCTACCGTGTAACGACTGGATCACAGATCAGCAGGAGGGTGGGGCAGCGAGCAGCAGAGAGTTACAGGAGCCAGCAGGGCACAAGCCAGGGGTGGAGCGGCGGGCAGAGAGCTACAGGAGGGTGGCAGCAAGCTACTGGCTCATGGGTTCATGTGCCGGGCTACTGTTTTAAATATATTCAAAGAATCTAAGGAAAGCATTGTCTAAAGAATTAAAGGAAAATAAGACAATAATGTCTAATTAAATGGAGAATATAAATAAAAAGATAGAAATGATTTTTAAAAAAAGAGCCAAAAAGAAATCCCAGAGTTGAAAAGTATAACTGAAATGAAAAATTCATTAGAGGTGTTCAACAGCAGATTTAAACAGGCAGGAGAAAAAAATCAGTGAGCTTAAAGTTACATTAATTGACATTACTGAGTCTGAAGAACAGAAAGAAAAAAGAATGAAGACAAATGAACAGAGCCTCAGAGATCTGTGGAATATAACATCAAGGGAATCAATATACTAGTATACATGATGGGAGTCTTAGAAGGGAAGAAAGAATATTTGAAGAAATACGGCTGCACATTTGCCAAATTTAATGAAAAACATAGTTGACACATCTAAGAAGCTCCATGAACTCGAAATAGAATAAACTCAAAGATTTCCACACCAAGCACAGTCAAACTTTAAAAAAACAAAAACCTTGAATGCAACTAGAGAGAAGTGACTCATCATATGTAAGGGATACTCAGTAAGATTAGCAGCTGATTTCTCATCAGCAGCCATTGAGGCCAGAGGCAGAGGAGTAAAATATTCAAAATGCTGAAAGGAAAAGTCTGCTAAAGAGAATAATAATTGCCAACTATAAATTCCTGGGATAAATGGTAAAGATCAAAATGTATTCTGCATTTAGATTTCTTCCTAAGAATTCACTTTAAAGAAAATGGGACAGAAAATTGTTAATGACACATTATGGGGTCTGTTTTTCTTCTTTAATACAAAGGTAACTAGTTTAAAGAGCGTAGGATTTGTAGCCAAAGGTCTGACACTAACTAAGTGTGTAATCTTGACCTACTACCTAACTTCTCTAAACCACAGTTCTCTAACTTCTCTATCTGTAAAATGGGAAGCATATTTTCCTCACTATGACAATGTATAAGAAAAATCTTTGTAAATTGTAAATGGCTATTCATAAGGTTGTTTTATCTGTCAAGGCTGCCATCAGTATTATTATTATTACTGCAACTACCAAAAACACAGGTGGTGGTGGAAAAACATCTGCTCTTCCCCAACTGTAATCACCTATTGACTTGGAGACCCAATAAGTCTGGAAATGTGGTGGGAGGGTGACAAAGATGGTACCCTGCTGGGAGCCGGTCCATCCTTGCTGTTTCAAGGGACCTGGCATATATGGCATACTGTTCTTAATATGTCTGCTCACCTTCTTGGCACTATGTGTTTTAAACAAGGTCACCTCTCTGAGAAAGGTTGTTTCCCCAGGTGGGGATTTTTCCCTGGAGTTAGGGATTAATAGGACTAAGGACGGGAATCAGTAAAACCCCTTAACTAAGTGGCAGGTGGGTAGTTAATCACTTTAACTACAAACAATCATGCTTATGCTACATAATCTTTACTCCCTGGAATGGAGATAAGAAACGCCCTAAATTTTGCAATAGCCTAGAGACAGAACATGGCAAAAGATGCTGGACAGAACCTGGCTACAGAACTTGGTTGGAGAACCTAGACAGAACCTGGCTGCAGAAGCCGGCTACAGAACCTGGCGACTGAACCTGGCCGGAGAACCTAGCGAGAGAACATGGCTACAGAACCTGGCTGGAGAACCTGGATAATGTGGCTGGAGAACCTAGCAAGAGAACATGGACACAGAACTTGGCTGGAGATTGTGGCTAGAGATCCTGGCAAGGCTGCTGATCAACTGAACACTGTCTCCGTGTCATTCCTTCTTCGCCGACTCCGTCCACACCTTTGGGGACCCCTGGACCTGCTGGGGTTGGACCCCGGCAGTACCCTGTGCTGTAACCAGGCTTTAGTGACTTAGTCCTGAAGGAAACTCCAGCTGCTTTTATTACTGGCCAACCCTACATAGTCAGTTACCTCTATTTTGTCATAATATAAAGGAAAGGACAATTGAGGCAGACTAATAGAACAAGTCGCTTACTAGATCTCTTGTTTTTTTTTAAATATATTTTATTGATTTTTTACAGAGAGGAAAGGAGAGGGATAGAGAGTTAGAAACATCGACTAGAGAGAAACCTCGATCAGCTGCCTCCTGCACGCCCCCTACTGGGGATGTGCCCACAACCAAGGTCCATGCTCTTGACCAGAATCGAACCTGGGACCCTTCAGTCCCCAGGCTGACGCTCTATCCAGTGAGCCAAACTGGTTAGGGCTAGATCTCTTGTTATCGTGCACATAAATACAGGGAAGACACTTCTGTATCCTTTGCCTAGTTTGCTTAGTGGGACTGAGTGGGCAAAGGGCTAATGGCCCAGCCTCAGCAGCCCCTACACAGAGAAATCAGAGCTTTTATCTCTGAGGACACATGGGCAGTTGCAACCCTGCTAATAGTCTTGGCAGTACTATTAAGTAATAAAAACAAATTAAGTGCCAAAATATTCTTTGTACCAAAAATATTTTTAAATCACCAACACACATGCAAATCTTCCCAAATTAGCCATCAAATGGAAACAAATTGTGGAATAACATTTTAAATGCAAAAATACACGTGCTCTTACCAACTGGCAGATATACAACCTAAAATATATTCATATGCAGAGACCACATATGCTTAGAGTACGGTTTATTATGTATGGCTGGCTAATTTTTTAGGTCCTGTCAAATAATGCATAGGAAAACAAAATGTAATAAAAATATATATAATCTTGACAGTCATTTGAAATGTACCATGTGTTACATGTGGAATGTTTTCCAGGGAAGCCAATTTACGTCTTCCCACTTCTCATGACTCAGTACTAGATATTCAGGCTTTCTAAACTATTTTTTGGCAACCAGACTTTCTTGGAATAGTCATCTTTCCTTCAAGTTATTCTGTGCCGGCATTAATAATAAATCCTCAGCTTATAGATATGTAACTAAACATCATTCACATCATCTCTTTCAAACCTAAAAGCACATAATAAAGTTATTTTAAATAGATCACATAAAATAGAGCCCAGAATTATTCCTTGAGAATAATTAATTGCTACCACATGAAGCACAAAATGACCGCACTAGATTTTTAGTTTAATTATGTTACTACTAACCTAGAGATTAGCTGGGAAATGTCAGCTTCTCACTGGGAAAGGAAGATTAGTGAGCTAATGGAAAGTTTGTTAAAAAGTGGGTGTGATTACAAAATAATTTGAAGGGAGTGGAGTGTTCAGTATATAAAGCAAAACCTTTTCAAAAGAAGCTAAAATTGTTACGTTTACAGCCCCTATCTGCATTGATTAATTTAAGAACTATTAATCATCTATCATGAATCAGACCCTGTACTCCGAGTTTTTTGGAGAAATACCTGGAGTTCTTTAAGAATAGTTGTCGGAGAACACGGAATGCGAGCCAGGCCTCCGGAAGGAGCAGTAGGCTACCTTTAGGCTCAAGCATAGCCCCTACCCCTCCTAAATCGGAACTCAGTTCCAACACAGGCCTCCCTTCCTTCCTTCCTAGTCACCACTCAAACGATAAGACTTACCCTCTCTTGTCTAGATACTGATTTGTGTCCTACTGTCCTCTTACCAACCTCCTTCCTCTTCCACCTCCCAACTCTCCCACTGAGCCTGCCGAACACCTGCTCTGTGATTAGTGAACTTACCTAATCCTCAGCCTCTCCTTCAAGCATTTCCCTCCCCCTTTAGCTTAAAGGAAGTCTTGCTGTCCCCTGGGGCTCTCTGCACCATTGTGACCGCTGAGGTGGAGGCTGTTGATTCTCTGGGATCCCATGGTCAGGAGGTGAGATGTTCTCCTTGCTCACCAACGCCACTTGCCTTTATCCTTCTACCCTCCTGTAAAATTCTTCGGCTTCTTCTAGACTCACTGCACCTCATTATGTCATCCTCACCCCTTGTGTTGCATCTGCTCACTTTATCATTTTCCTTCTCAGAAGTCTTGGTCCCAGGCCTTCCAGCCTGTTTCTCCACTGCCATCAGCATTCAGGCCAATGGCCCAGCCAGACGCCAGCTTCATCTCCTCATCCTAGTGCTTTTCTCCCCACTCCATCTAACTACCCTCTCCCACACACAGCCCTGGACCTTGACATCATCCAAAAGTCCTCTGCCATCTGAATCATCCATTTCAGCATTCTAATCTCCCTCACATTCTCTCAGTCTCTCCATCCTGTTTACTCAACAAGCCCTGCTATAGTCATCTAGTAAACTACTATCATATATAAACCTATAGTTCTCTGATTTCTGCCTATCCCTCATCTTACTCTGTCTTCACATCCCGTTTAACTACTTAATTAAATACCCTAAACTTTGCTGTTGTTAGTCCTTCCATTTCCTGCAGAAGTTAAGACAGGAAGACCCTATAACCATGTGCTCTCTGAACAACCAACTCCGTACTCAAGATTTCCACTTGGATCATTCATTGGGGCCTCCAATCCAGTTTGTCTAAAAATGAACTCACGATCTCCCCTCCTCTACACGAGACAAGTGATTCCTCCCTCTCACTAAATGACATCAGTATCCACACAGTGGTTTGAGCCAAAAACCTGGGAATCATTCTTGACACCTCCCTCTTCTCACATATAATCAGTCACCAAATTTTTATGTCCCAGGAATCTCCCACATACCACTCCACTGCCACCAGCCACATGCTAAGCTACTACGTTTGTAGCTTGGACCTTTTTAATCCTAACAGTAATCCCTACATAGTACCCAAAGGCTTTAAAAACATAAATTTGGCTGCATTAACTTCTTTGCTTCAAACCTTTCTAAGATAACCCTTTGATTTTATTAAGATAAGGCCCAAAATCCTCAATGTGGCCTAAAAATAATACGGTTTTTTATTTGCTGCATTTCACAGATGAGGCTCAGTCATTAAATAAGTTGCTCAAGGTCTTAGAACAGTGATTCAAGTGGCAGGGCCAGGGTTAATGCAAACAAGATTTTTTGTTTACGGAGGGGGGTTGAGGGATGTGGTGACACCTTTATTGTTTTGGGGGCAGGGAGATGCTCAGGAGCTCTCGGTGGGGTGGATCCACAACAAGATTTTTTTATGATGGAGAAATAGGAAGATACAAAGATTATATCCATAAGATTTATAAATTTATGGCTCAATATATATTTAAATGGACAGTTGACTAAAGTTCCCTTTAAAATACTAATTATATTCAGTGTTACTAGCTTTTCTTTTGAAGTTTTGAAGATAAATATATTCTTATAATGGGAAAAGAGTTCATATGTGACTTTTGCAAATGCACTTACAGGCATACAACTTTAAAATTTTTTCAACAGAATTTTCATTGGGAGCGAATTTATTAATAACCCTTTGTTAACCAAGGAAAGTGGGGTGTATAAAGGAAAATCCTGACAAACACATAACTGGCATATTTGGGGATGTATTTCTTTAGTACTTTTTTATTGTTTTTTGAATGTTCAAAGTAGCCTGGAATGTTCCAATTGAAGTATGTAACCACAGAGCCAGCCTCACACATAGTTGCAAACTAAATAAAGTTTTTTATTTGGTTTTCTTCCAAATTTCTCTTTTTTATTTATCTCAGTTGCTCTCCTCTAAGCCCATGTTGGGGCAGTCCACTGTAATTGCCATGAAACTGCCAATGGCTGCCCACAATAGTTCCCAGCCTGGATTCCCTTAAGTATGGACCTATTCCAACCCACGCCTCGTACATCAAAACTGCGAGGGCTTTTTCCTTAAGGCCCCACTCTGCTTCCCAACGTGACAGCTAATTCTCATGAGCTATTATTTATTAATTTAATGGAGAACGTCTGGAGACAATACCAGAAACAAAGTATATGTTCACCCTTTTCTGTGTAACCTCTCTACCACAATGATGATTTTGAACTTTACATTCTATTATTTGTATTTTAAAATAGGTGTTTTAAATATGCTTTTCCTAAACTCATTTGTCCTCTTCCATTGAAACTTTTATATTCTTACACATATGTCTTACACCACTTCCCACATCTTACCACCTTTGGTTGTGAGTGTCCTAAGCCAGAGGGCTGACTCACTGGCAGTCACTGGCAGTCCAGAGAGGAATTAAGCAAAAAGATGTTCCTTTATCTCTCAAGTCCTAACCAACATGAAGAGACATGTGGTAACAGGTATGCAGCAGAAACCTGTTGAACTATGATTATAATGTTTCTGAACACCCAGGTTTGGGGTTTACTATTTTCTTCCAAATCCAACCTATTGTAAAGAAACCTAACAACCAGTACTCTTGATTACCACTGATCGTAGCACCCATGCTTCAAAAGTGTTCATTGAGCATGAAAAGGATAAGTAATTCATAACTAACATTTCTTAAACTTTTAGGATGTGCTACTAAATGAGATGCTTTGTCTCATGTAATCCTCATAATAGTTCATGACAGTTCTGTTATTTTCCTCTTTTTAGAGGTATAAGAACTAATGTTAAGAAATTAACCTGCCCAAAAATGCATAGCTAATGGAACCAGGATTTGAATTTCATTAGGTCTGACTCCAGTGTTCATGCTTTAGTCTTCTATACTTCGTGGTGAAGTTTTTTAATGTGTCAGAGATGGGCCAAATCACCCAGTATGTGATTCACTCATTCATTCATTCATGAATTATTTATTTATTCATTCAGCAACTTTTTTGAACATTCACTGTCTACACTTTTCCAGGTGCTGTGAAAATCCATAGCTTTAGCCAAATAGAAATCATGCCCTCAAGGAATGTGTCTACCAGGGACGATGTTAGATATAGAAATAACTGTGACATGAGGTATACAGGGGTAAGAGCTATGAAGCAGATCCCATTTTTTAAAAGTATTGTAGTTCAGAAAAAGGAGAGGTGAAAACACTAAAAGAAGGTGGTATTTCATTTGAACCTTGATAGATGGGGAGGATTTAAGTGTGAGACAACAAGAAACTAGAGAGTGTAGGGTATTTCAGACTGAGAGAGGATATAGGAACAAAGACCCAGAGGGGAAAGTTAGAAAAAGGAAGTCATGGAAAGCAAGAAAAGAATTTTAAGAAATGGTAGCTGGAAGTAGAATGCTATGGATGTGTTCCTTACCACTGACCAGAACATATGCCTGTTCATCACAGTTAGCCTCTCGTGCATAGTGCATACATTCTCCTTCCTCCCATCTGGCACCTCTTCACACATGAGTGCTCACGTTCCTTGAAAGAGAAGAAACTTCCTTATAGGTGGGGAAAACATGTATCCCCATTAAAGGATTAAGAATCACTATTAAGGAAAGAAAGGTTAAGGAGAAATCTGTTCTTTCAGGAAGCTTTTATTAAGATCCTATTATGTCCCCAGAACTGTTAGATGCTAAGAATATTTTTAAAAATAATGTGCCACTTTTGCAGGTGTCTCTCTTTCTCCCCCTCCCCTCCCCCTTTGCCCACCTCCACCCACCCCCACCTTCTTTGCTCTCACCTCTACAGAAATGGGAACTGTCAATCTTTCAAAACTGCCAAATTAATGAATTAAAAATACTACATTATTGCTTTATTTTGAACTTCTTAAGTATTAATGAAGTTGAGTATCTTTTCAGGTGTCAGGCTGGTTATATTTTTGGTAAACTAATTGCTGTCAATGTGTGGGATTTTACCTGTTCACGCTAATAAATTTGCTTGTCAGTGGTTCGTGGATTCTGGCGGAAGACATAAGACTCTTGAGTCAGAAACAAAGACCATTATTGCTCGCAAGCAGCATGAGCATCACGTTTGCGTTGGTTTCTCTTGCCGCCAAGTCCAAAGAGGGCAAAAGCAGAAGGGCACCCAGGGGGATGTTATGTGTGGAGTCCATAGGTGACTCAGCTGAGGAGCAAGGAGCTTGTCACCCACCTCTCAGAGCACACCTGCTCTTGGTCCTAGAAAGAGACTACCTCATCCCCGCCTGGTTGCTCTCTGCAAACACAGCCTGCGAAACGGTCCCAGTTAGCAGTTTTCAGGGCCCTGCATCCTTTGCATAATTAGTAAGATGCCGGGAGCCGGTCCATCCTTGCTGTTTCAAGGGACCTGGCATATATGGCATACTATTCTTAATATGTTTGCTCACCTTCTTGGCACTATGTGTTTTAACCAAGATCACCTCTCTGAGAAAGGTTGTTTCCCCAGGTAGGGATTTTCCCCTGATTAGGGAGGGGGAATAAAACCTCTTAACCCCTTCCCCAGCAGAA